CTTCCAGAGGGGCTCACAGCCACCACACTGAGGCTCGGCATCGTTGGTCAAACATGCCCTTCTCCGCTGGGCGCTCACATACGCGAAAATCAGCAAGTCTCTGCATCACGAGGCAACAGACCCTGGATGTTATTTTTGGAATTCCTCACACAAATGGGTCCAAAAGAGATTTTTAAAATGTGGCTTACGCCACGATTAATATACTAAGAAGTAAAAGAGAATAATACAGGGAGAGAGCAGGAGTGAGAGAGGAACAACAGCTAAGCATCCACTTTCTTTGCCACCCTGTGTAGTTTGAGATCGACTCTTGTGTCAGGACAATGAGAGCACGTTTATGCAGGATGTGATTTTCCACCATAATAAAAATACTTCTGGTCAATGCCTCTGCCTGATGCTTGGTTGGGAGGAAAAAACAAATTAAGACTATGAAGTTGGGGGTAGGCATATACTGAAATCAACAGTAATCAGTGATATAAAATACAGATGACAGAGGAACAAAGGGCTTTATTTGTCAGGGCCTTCATGACCTTAAATACAGTAGAATTTTGTATTAACCTGAGAATCTTGTGTACCACTAATAAACCTTCTGCCAATATGACAGCAGTGACAACAAAACGTAAAGAAAAAACAAGAAAGTATAACCTTTATTTGTTGATCCCTTTGGTTATTGAAAATTAAAATGCACACACGACTGAGAGCAAAAGGCTGTGGCAGAGATCACAGATGAGACACAGAAGAAAGCACAGCCCCTGTCCTCAGAAAGCTTACTTCAGGAAAATTCTGAGATTGTAAAACCAACAGCAAATTGCAAAGGAGTTCAACCACCAATTTATGGTCCTAGCAACTAATCAATGGTTATCATATGCATGGCACTGACTAGTTGGTCACTGCTAATTTTTGTAGGTGGAGAGCCAGCAATATCTCTCTGTTTAAAAATCATAGCAAAGTGCTCTAAGTAATGCTCCTTTACAAGTGGCTGGAAACACTACAAGGCTGGTGAGGAATACATTTTGCCCCATTGGAAAACACTGAAACCAACATAAGCCATCAATGAGAATTAATAAGCCATCAATGAGAATTTAGGAGCATATTTGAGTTGACTATCTACCTTTAGAAATGAATGGATCTTTAAGTATTAAAATGAGGGTTTAATATACATTATAACTAATACTACTTGAGATGAAAGTAAATGACCCACTACTCCCCTCCCAGGTACCAAGAGGGGTCAGATTTCCCATTTATCAGCAAGTCTTCAGGGTAGGCAGCATCTCAATCTCAGACTCTCTTCTGTAGCTGCTACATGGACGGCTGAGGGGAACACTTCAAAAATGAACCAGCTAAACAAACTTACCAGCCACACTTGACAGAGCTACACCTATTCTTCCCATTTCCAAAGCAGTGGAGAATTAATTACCAGTTCTATGGATCTATTGTAAGTATAATAGACTAAAGAGCTATCACAGACACATTTATTGTAAAAGCACAATCCCAAGAGTGTCTAGTGGAGGGCCAAAACGATTAACACAAATGCTTTGTCAGATCAAAGATAAAACCTGCACCGCCCAATTGAGGAATGAATTAGAACAGTGGGTTATCTTTCAAATTAACCAGGGCAGTTAGTGAGGAAAATTTCATGAAAGTGTAATTCTTAGCCTTTGTGAATCCACACAGCAGGCATTCTGCCAGCTGACAAGATGATGAAATTTTCATGCTTAAAAAAAGCCCTCTTCATTTCCCAATTTAGATTAGCTAGTGTTTCTCTCTCTTTTTTGTGTGTGTGTGTCTATTTGCTCTTCTGGAGCTGAATTTAAGGGGAGGGGGAACACATATCAATTTTTCACTGTAAAACTGAGTCTTTCAAAAACATCCCTAAAAGCTTAGAGATATAGTCTTTAAACTGGCTTTTTATGATTTTCAAAAAATACCAGTTTAAATTCAACTTTGTACAGAGGAACCAACAAGGACCAGGGCACGAAATCAACTTTGAATTGGAGCTTCTGGGCTACCTCAAAGTCTTTCAATGCTTTATTAAATCTCAGGATAGAAGACTAGAGTTGTTTTCCCCCTAAAGAAATTAACATATTTCTTAAAATGTCCTTGCTCAGTGCTTTTTGTATTTCCACGTATATTATAATTTAAATGTTCTAGAAAGTGAGAATTTGGGGCATACAATCACTGCTATATGGTGAGAGAGAAAAAAGTATTTCCTCTCTTATTAAAAGGGCCAATATTAAAACAGTATGATATGATATAGATTCATTCTCAGATACATAAAATTTTTAAGGTTTGTTGTATCACATTTATTCAGTCAGTACTATCTATTCATGACAGAAAATAACAATATGTGATGTATTTTTTGAAAAGTGATTTAGAAGTATACTTTATTACCCTAAACTTTTGTCCCTTTGTTCTTGACAACCTGATTTCCTTTTTTTTTTTGCTGAGGAAAGATTCTCCCTGAGCTAACATCTGTGCCAATCTTCCTCTATTTTGTATGTGGGTCGCTGACACAGCATGGCTGCTGACAGGCAGTGTAGGTCCGTGCCTGGGAACCAAACCCGGCCCGGCAAAGCGGAGTGCACTGAACTTTACCACTAGGCCATGGGGCTGGCCCCTGACAACCTGATTTCTTGCTGATCTAGAACTATGTTCCTTGGCAGGGTAAGCATTTGGTCAAGTACCATACTCCTCCATTGTCTTTTACTAAAACTCCTGCCTTATGGAGATGCCTTCCTTTCTCAATGCAGATTATACTTCCCTTGCAGTGATTCTAAGACTAAAATGAACAAAATATTGAGATACTTGTTCACAGTCCACTAACAACTTTTACGCCCAGTGCGTAGTATTTTTTAACCTGCAAAATAGGAGGAAACTCTTTTGGTCATTAGCTTCAGAGAACAGTTACTTAATCCCAGTACTTATTACCAATATCCTTGCCTCTAATACACTTGGTGTAATCTCCAGCTGGATTACCGTCACTATGGTATATCAAACCAAACGCACTGTAATCAGTATCACTTGAGGCACAATAACAAAAGAAACTAAATGTCATGTCCCCCTACAGGAAAAGTTCGTTTAAGTCTGGAATCAGAAGGAAAAATAAGAATCTACCAATGAAGTAGAACTTAGAGGTGCATCAGCTTTCCGTATAAAAGCTCTGATCTTGAGACTATCTGAAACATTTGTTCAGCATGGGGCCATGAAAAGAACAAAGAATGGATTTCTTTTTCTCCTATCCAATCACATATGACTGAGATCAGAAAGTAGAGAAACAGTTTCCTAATTTTGAGGACAGTCATATCAATTTTCAACTTTAGAAGTGATATTTGGGTATTTTAATTAGAAATCCCTTAGGAAAGTCAATCAAGTGGGCAATTAACTAGATGAAAACTGTTACTTGCTGTTAGTGAGATGGCTAGTGGACAAGACAATTAAAGCAAATGCTATAGAAACCTTGGGTTAAATGTCTGGGTGCCTAAAACTAGGTTATTTAGCTTGAAAAATACTCATATAATGACTACCACCGCTACCACCACAACACACACACAACTACGTTAGAAATCAATCTTTCAGTTAGGGGATATTTCTAACTATACAGAAGATCATTTTTCTGCCAATTCGCAACTTAGTCAAAACAGATTGTCCCTTCTTATAGAAGGAAATAGATAAGTTTCTTCTAATATTAACATTTCCCTGGTGAAGATTTTGATAGACTAAACACAGAAAGAAAACTCAGAATTCTTCCCAAGAGTCAAGAATCATGCTCTGCTCAATGAGGTCTGTAAATGAGGAGCTGAATAGTTTTGATTTGGGTTCTTCATGCTAAATAAGGGCCTAACATTTCACGTGCTGAACATTTCATCTACTGCAGAATGTGAACCCACAGATAACCTTTATTCCCATCCAACTGCTCATTAAGTGTGACACAGGATTATTCACTAAAATGTTTCAGATTTCCCAAAATGTAGTCATAATTATTATTTTTAAAATATCTTCAGAAAAACCTACTTGTGTTTTTTTTTGACAAAGTATTCTACTCCAAAATCACAATACTGGAACTCTATGTTTTCCCTCTTCATCCTAATGATCTAATACTCGATTTTCATTTAATGAGTTAGATTTTAAAGAAGAAAATGCTACGTTATATGCTAACTATAAGTAGAAATTATAGAATGATAGTGATCAAGTCATGAGTCTTACCTAATAGAACCTGAGCAGTTTTTGGAAATGCCTTGCCAAAGTAGCTTCTTTAAGTAAGTTACAGTGAACTTTCAAGTAACAGAAATTTTGTTTAGACGACAAATGATACAATGAAGCACTAAGAAAAATCAAATGGGAAATGTGGGAGTTTTTTAATTTTAATTTTTGAAGAGAAAAAACTCATTCATATGAAATGTGTCAAAAACAAAACAAAACAAAAACTTTGAAAAAAAGCCTTCTTTCTAACACAGATAGCTCACTCACTGCTCTAGCATTTTTACCATACATTTACAAAAATTAGACATTCTCTTTAAAATGCCAGACAAATTGCATTTACATTTAAAAGATGTTTATTTTGATTTCCTTGGAAAACTAAGCTAAGAAATGGTTCAGATTAGCATACAAACACAAAGTCTTTCTTAGGTAATGGGCAGTTTATTAAAGTCACCACACAGTGATGTTACGGCTCTACTTGCCAAAGATAGGCAATGTTGATTTTTCCTCCTCTGTCCAAAGATCTGAGTGACCATTTAATTTAGTCTTATTTAGGCAATAATAAACTAAAACATTTCCTGTTTATATTCTCATTTTTCCTTAAAAGTAAAAATTTCATTATTTAAAATATTGCTCTTAATGAGATGTAATGCCCAATAGAAAATCAAATCATTTTCCTCCAAAGTCTTTTCAAAACTTCACAGTTTCATAAAAAACCAATAATACAAAACCATATTGTTTTACTTTAAAACAAGCACCAAATCTAAATAAGTTGTGTATGCAAGAAACTCATTATGGATACTTACTTCATAGTATTTTTTAATGCAACGTCTAATGTCCATGATCAATTTGTTGCTCAGCTGTACCAAAAAGGTCAGAGGTGAAGCCTTACAATCGATGTTACTGCAACGATACAAGCTGGGCTCCATATCTGTTCCCTACAGAAGTCAAGACAGACAAGTATACAAAAGGTTATAAAAGGTTTCTTGTGCTTAAAAACTTACATGCTGTCCTGGTATACAATATTCTTAATTCATTTTATTGGTGAGTTTTTAACTCTATTGTCTCAACTACTTTCCTCCCAAAGGTCCCCTTAGTCACACGTACCTTCTACTCTTACACCACCATTATAATGGAGTACAAAGTCGAAGAAAAACACCCTGAAATCACTTTTTTTTTACAGTCAATACATGACAGACTCGATGGATAAAATAATTTTCCCTCTGAAAATACCAGTGAAGTCACGTTATTAGAAATAAATATCCTTCTTAGAGATACTGATCAAAATTTTAAATTTGTACTTATTCATTCCAAATTTGAAGATAAAGCAAGAGCACTAATGACATTAGCTTGTTTTCATATTGTCAACTTAATTTTAAGAATAAAGCCTAAAAATTAAGTGTTACACCACAAAGCACTCACTTATTGTCAGCGTAGTAAATCTAAAGTTTCTGTAATCCTCCCCCCATGAAATGTATTTGGGGAAGGGGAGGCAGGAGGAGTAGAAATTGAAAAGAATTAACTTTTAGTAGTCAGAGAAAATGTTCTGTTTTGTTTTGTTTTAGACAAAGACAAAGCAAATATAATATATAGGAAAACTGTTGGGGTTTCTGGAGCATTTGTTTTCCTTCTTGATACTTAAACATCTTGGTTTCCTGCTCCAATCTGGTACATAACCCTACCCGCCACACTAAGCAATTCCAGGTGGAAGAGATTTTAGAGCTTGACATCGGCTCTTCCACAGTTAGCCCATCTGCAAGTCGTCAAGCCTCCATGCAATTAACTATCTTATTTACAGCTGTAATGAAGCAAAACTCAAGGATTTAGCAAGTATTGCTGATCTGTGTCTGCCTCTTCCTTGCACTTGCTTCCAAAGACTGCTTTGTTTTGATTCAAAAAAATGCAAAACATCTGCTGTTTGTCCAAATTAACTTAAAATAATCACTTTTAATTTAGATAAAGGATGTATTTTCTTTCAATTTCAAGGTTTTACATGCTTCTGCTGCCTACTCATTTGCCAATGGCTAGTATACATATAACACTGCAGTGAAATCAAGTAAATTGGCCAAGTTTCAAGTTCAGATACAAGGTCAATGATACATTTTTTGGCTGTACTTCTTTAGAGGAATGTCTCCTTGTGACTTTTTAAATGTCTGACATGCAAAGACATCAGAAAAGATAATCAGAGTACCTTTGTCAAAAAGGAGGCAAGTGGGATGTGTAAAGAAAGATAAACAAAAACTTTCCAAAAACACTTAGTTCCCATTAACTTGATTTAAGATAAAGGAAAACATTGCTCTAAGTCAATAAATTGGATTGGGAGTGGGGAAATACAGGTTACAAATTAAAGAATTACAATAAAAAATACTTTAAGATAATTTAGAATTTTTAAGAGAGACCATGTAAAAACCAAGGCCAAGCATTCTAGGAAGCCAAAAACAATATTCAAACACATTCTATTAAGAGTTTCCAAGCAGAAATACAGTTGTGAAGGTAGAATTCATATGATGCTAAAATTCTTTATAAACACATGAAAGCAACATACAAGTGAGGTTTTTTTCCTTTTTACGCATACAGTGGGGAGAAAAGGCTTTATACTAGTAATTCACTCACAAAATGAAAAAAGGAAACAACTAACCGAACCATCAAAGACGCTATCATAAATATTCTCAGTTCCACATGTAGGGCATGGACACTTGAATCTTTCACAGTCCCTGTATTTCTCTTCATCAGTGAGCTGTGCTGGGCCACCAAGTAGAGCATCATTCTCTTCATCTTTATGATAATGATGAACTCTAAATTGGGTGGGGTCAAGTCCTATTAATGTAAAAGAAAAAACAAATTTAGAAAGGTATACAATTATTTGAATTCCCTTATCCAAAAAAATTCTCCAAAGAAGAAAACTCACACAAGAATGGTTTTAAATTCACTCAGACACATACATGACCATTTGAACTCAAGTTAGAGGTTCATAGCACATGGACAAATGACTTCTCTTTTTACAAGAGATTATAAATAAAACAAATAAACTGCATTAAAAAAAATGCAGAAATATGCCTCTGCACATTTGGGTTTGAAAGCAAGTACTTCTACAGGATGGTTTTACTATTTTCCTAAAGTTACAGGGAAAATCTCAAATAAATGTGCACTGTTATTAAGAAAATCTCTTAAAATCAAAGTATCACCATTAAAACTGAAAATAGAGAATAAAAGTCCATTAAAGAAAACAAGTTCACTGCTATTACAACTCCTTCAAGTGCAGACACAACTGCTAACCCTGATTTCAATGCAGTGGTCGATTCCATCTTGGCTCAGTAGTTAACAGCATGTAGGTTGCAATCTAATTCAGTGGTTAAAATTCAGTAGCAGCATCTGAGACAAAACACGACATGGTTTTTTGGTGTTCTGAATTGAGAAATTTAAAATATGTGCACAAACAATGAATCTACAGATTCTACAGGCCAAAATGTTCCCAACAATTCTGAAACCAAATATACCTTCCATATTTCAATCAAAATGACACAAGAAATCAATTGATGCATAGTTTAGGCTATCTTGTTTCCCCAAACTATTTGAGAAAAGAAACATTTTAAGGCCAACCAATTTAATTTACCCCAGGCCAAAGCATATCTGTCAAAATCTACTATTTGAATTTACACTTAAAGATAATTATTCCACACTCTATCTTATTATATTTTCTTGAAAGCGTCCCTTAGCAATCCCTAAGAGTTCTAGGCTTTTTAGAAATCTAAGGAAAGCTATCAGATTTATTTTAGTATAAAGGGAAATAAGTAATTTAAAACAGTCACTGAGCAAAAAGTTTAAATACCAAAAATACCTAAAAACTATTTTAACTCTATCAACAGCTGCATAGGTAGATAATCCAAAAGATGTATTCAGAATTCAGTGACAAGATCCTAAATCCTATTTGTTCAATTGTCAAGCGACATCTAGTAATTATAAAAGATTTGAGACCGACTCTGACACAGTAGAAAGGTACTGAACAAAGACCACGACGGAGACTGGGAGTCTCAGTTTTCTCACCTGCAAAATAGAGGTCGTACCACCGACCACGCACTTCTCAAGTTGAAATCAGACATAAGAAAACAAACCATTTTCAACGGTGCCTATCATGTGGTAGGCGCTCAATAAATGTCATATGAATGCAAAAATAAAATAGTGGATGAACATCATTTAATCCAGACTATATTCATTCAAGATAATGCATTTGGAAAAATATATGAAATGCATGTTCATGCTGCATAGCAAGTTAACAGCTGCTCTTTGTAGGAATTAAAGTGAATATTTCCTAACATGATAGTCTATAATAAAGACAAAGAACATACATTCAAAACAACTTGAAAAACTGTTCTTGGTTAGTGACATAAATTACTGTCACCTAGGTCACTTGGCCCCAAGACTCACTATACATTTTTATTTTACAAGTTACCTACCCCCTAAGAGAAACTGCAAGTTAGTGAAGTGTGGGAATATCGACCCTCCCATTTAAAGACAAGGAGGGGCAGAGGAACTGAGTGAGAGGGACCATGCCTGTGAATGATGCCGTTTCTTCTCCGTAGTGAAGGTTAACTGTTGCAAATTCCTTAAACTCTAGCTGTGAATCCAAGTGTATTCACATAATGTCTTGCTTTATTTGTGATTATAAGAAAGCAGCTTTACCTTTTCTCTGATGGTGTGATTATTTATCATTTTCCCAGGCTAATACTATTCGAAAAGGAAGGAAAAAGAAAAATAGTAAGCAAGGGTTTTCTAAAAGGCAAGCTTCTTTCACAACCCAAAAATCAAGGAACAAAATAATGCTGGCTTTGCACATATACAAAACTGGCCGGGCTGCGACAAGGAAGCAATGAAAGCTCTCTCTAGACCTCCCCAACAGCCACGGCCCACTTAGTGTAGCCGAGCCCTGGGACAGCCTGCCTGCTGAGTAAGCCAAAACTGGACAGGGGCTGTCTTGCTACTTATGGAGAAAAGCCAAACAAGTGGCCAAAAGTTATGAAAAAATATCAGGCCTTATGAAATGTCTACTTTAAATGTCCATTTCCACAAAGAACCCTTATCTGCCCATGGCAATAAGAAAGCCAACTGGCCTAGCTAATTACTTGAGATTTATTCCCAAGCTGAATTTTTTCAAAGAAGGGACTTCATCTCAGCACTCTTGGTCATAAGTCAATGTTAAATTTTTAAAATATAAAGGGAGACGACACTGTAATTACCTTAAAATATTAGGTATATAATGATCCTTGTACAAGTTACTTGGATTAAAAAATGTCATAAAGTGATTTTCTTGGGAGGACAATTATAAGTTCAACAGGCAAATCACAGAGAGCTAAATTAGATCTTTTTAAGAAAACATACAATGTCACATTAAAAAAAAAGATCACTGCTGCCAGAATCTTTCTTTTAAAGGTCAAAATCCAGGCTTAAACAAGCCCCAAACTCATTCAACATATAAATTCATTTTTTCAAATCCTTGCAAAATTGGCAATAAGCAGCTTATTTCCAAGTTTTGGGAGTCTTAAAAGTTTTACTGCTTCTACCATAACTCATTAAGGCTAAAGTGAAACAACAGGAAAAAGAGTATCCGGTGCTGCCACCTAGAGGTAGCTTCTGAATTTTAAAATGTGCAAAATAGAGCGGCTACATATCGCTCCATTTGTAATTACTGTCCCTCCAAAATTAAACACTTTTGTCAGAAATGAGATTAAAGCAAAATATTTACAATCATAGCTGGCATAGACGCAGATACACTGTATAATCGATATTAAACTGCTCACCATACAGTAAGTAATCATGTTAGTCTTTGAGCAAAAGATACAAAACTGAATTCCAAATTCCTTATCTCTTCTACTGAGAGCTTTCTCTGAACAACTGGCTTAAAGAAACAAACTTTATGCCCCATTTGACAAAAGGAACTTCCCCACTTCTACTAGATTTGACAGGTGACTTCAATCATTTGGTCCGGCACAGAATAAAAGAAGCAACAGCCTACTTGGGCTTGGCCCCAGTTATCCGGGGGAAGAGCAGCCGTGGTTTCCCCCCCATAAACAGAAATGATGCGTGCTTTAATTCAATCCCGTGACTTGTAGTGATCCAGTCACATCATTTTTCTCGGGCTGCGGGGGTGGAGAGAGACAGAGGGGGCAGTGGAATGAAATTAAAATATGTCATTTATAATTAGAAAATTTATAGGATCTCACATTATTTTGGCAACAGGATCAAAGCTCTCATGTTTCAAGAAGTATTTATAGAAAGTAACATCATAGGCATTGGGGTAGATGAGTTCAGCAGCGCTGTTTTTTACTTAAGATCACCGTAGTCTTATCACACACACCTCCAAAGTGACATTTAGCACAAAATTACTTTTTCTACTATTGTACTTTTTAACCATTGTAAACCACCTGTTTTTAGAATGTTTATATGCCCCCACTCCCAAAGGGTATTTAAACTGTTCCAAATTCAAGGCATTCAATTGAGAGGCTGATGCATTTGACCAAATCATTTTCTTCCTCCAAAAGACAAGGTCTCTATTAGTGCAACTACAAATAACTACAGGAAAGCCAATTATATATGTTCATACAAGTGGGAAAAAGGAAAAAATCCATATGAATGAAACTCCAAATGAGCAGAGTAACTGGTATTCCCAAGCAGTTGTTTAAAACATGAATCACTTAAACTACTAGGAAAGCTAATTAATGGAATCCTACTGTGAATTTTTTTTCTAAATTTTTCTATTAGGAAATAAATCATTTATCTTTTGCATGAATCCAGGGTTTCATATATCTGGACTTCTTAGAGAACAACAGACAAACTGAAAATTTAATAAGATTAAGGAAAAAAATAATTTTTAAAAGGTAAATGCTATATCCATAAAAAGCCTTGCATAAGAATGTTCACAGCAGCTTTATTCATAATAATCAGAAATTGCAAACAATCCAGATGTCCACCAACAAGAGAATGATTAAATAAACTGGTAAAAGCTACCATGGAATACTACTCAGCAATGAAAAAGAAAGAATACTGACACACAGAAGATGGATGAATCTCAAAAACATGCTAAATTAAAGGAGCTGAACACAAAAAGCATATACCGTAGGAAATCATTTTTATAAAATTTTAGAATAGGCAAAACTAACCTATGGTCATAGAAATCAGATGAGAGTTGCTTTTGTGAGGGGACATTGACTGGGAAGGGGTACAAGGGAACTTTCTGGGTGATGGAAATGTTCTGTCTTGATAAACTGATTATATGATACTCTTAAGATGGCAGCATTTCATGGTATGTAAATTATACTTGAAAAAAAAGTATGCCAAATAGGAGATGTGTGTGATATATATTTCGAAAGGACTCATATTTAGAATATATAAGGAATGCCTACAAATCAATAAGTAAAAGACAACCAAACAGAAAAGTAGAAAAAGGCTTGAGGAGGCACCTCACAAAAGCAGATATTTAAATGGCCAATAAACGTGTCAACAGGTGCTCAACTTTATTAGTCATCAAAGAAATGCAAATTAAAATCACGTTATGCCACCACATAAAATGAAGAAGACAGAAAACGAAGTGTTGGTAAGAATGTGGAACACTCATACACTGCTAGTAGAGGGTATAAATTAGTTGAGCCACTTTGGAAAACTGGTAGTATCTATGAAAGCTGAACATACACGTCCCCTACAACCCAGCAATTCTCTTCCTAAGTATATACCCAACAGAAATATGAGCAATTGTTCAACAGAAGACATGTGCAAGGATACTCAAATAGCACTCTTCATAATTACCCAAATGTGGAAAAAATCCA